CGGAGGTTCACCGTCACCTGCTATAGCCAGGATGCAGTCCTCGCAAAGCCCCCGCAAAAGTCACGTTGCCAGTGCGGCTCTCACTGCCGAAGCTGAAGCTCCCACGCAGACTCCGAGTCGCGAGATGAGTCTCCCAAAGCTTGGTCAAGGCCTTGGACCAGGCATCGACGCACAACTACCCGGCACGAGCGAGGGCAGCACCCACAATACTCCCCAGCTGTGCTGCGACTCGCTCGGCAGGGACGAGAAGGACAGTCGAATCGGCGGTATCGCACGCTGGCTTGAGCGAAGGGATGACGAGGCTACATCGTCAGCACCTGAATCCAAAACCCTCTCCGATGTGGTTCTGGCCAATGCATTCTACGCCGATGGAGAGCGCAAACGCGAAGAGATTCTGCGAGTTCAGGACCAGCACCAGCATCCCATGGTCGCTAAAGCCTTGCGCGATCGCGCGCGTCGAGAAGCAATGGCGCGAAGCTACTCCATGCCCGACATGAGAGCTAAGCCGCAAGGTATTGTGTCGCCTCGCAGAAGATCTCGGAAGGCAGACAGCGGATCCAAGCACTCTCAAGGACGGTCATCTCGTTCGAGGAAGAAGCTCGAGAAGAAGTTAGCCCAAGCTGCTGCTGCCAAAGCTGAACTCACTGCGATCGCACACTCGACCGCAAAAGACGCGAGGCAAAAGGGCTCGAGAAGCAAGGACGCCTTGCGTGCTGGTACGAGAGGCGCACACGACTCGGTTTTGTTGACCCCTAACGCAAGGACGACAGATGCCCTTCTCCTTGCGGCCTCGCCATCCATCATAGGCTGTTCATGTGGCCATGCGGAGACCTTGGGCGCCATGGTCCGGTGTGACGCTTGTCACAGCTGGTACCACTTATACTGTCTGGGTATCGCTTCAGAAGACGACCTAGACGAAGAGTGGTACTGCGATGGCTGCTGCGAAGGCTATCTCCACAACGCCTCCCCAGGTGACCTCGATGACGTTTCGACCGGATTCTCTTTCGGAGACTCAGCCAACAGCACACCGCTCGAGGGCCTGTTGCAGCAGCTCAGTCAGGAAGCGCAGGCATCTGGACGTAGCCAGCAAGAGCCCGTGTTTGCCCATCCTACAGAAAGCCCAGCAGCACTGCGCAGCACGCGTTTCGATGCTCTGGCTTTGGCACCCAGCCCACGACTTGCTTCGTACCACACGCGTGGCGAGCGGGAGCAGTCGTTCGCCGCTACACTTGGTGCTTCGACGGCGGTAGACTCATCGACAGGTACTGCCACAACTTTTGCGCCTGCCGTTCGCACGCGCGCTGCTCGATTTGGCTCGTACTACGTCGAGCCAGCCTCGCCACTTGACCGCAAGAGCTTCGACCCGCGCAGCGATGCACCGGCAAGCCCCAGTCCAAATCGTCGGCGCATCGCAACCTTTGCTTTGGACGATCCATTTGGCACTCCTAATCTGATGCTGCCGCGTGACAGCTGGAGCACGCATGAGCATGCTGACGATACTTGGCATGTCCATGCCTCGAGCGACGAGACGACGAAGAGCCAAGCTGTCAATGAGGCAGGACGCGAGAGGCCAGCGCGTACTCCCAGTCCTGCCGTGAGCACCTCCGCTTTCGCGACGCCTAGCCGCCATGCGAAGACGTCGCGGCTCCACGGCAGCAGCGGCGGAAGCAGCGGCTCGCGAGCGCGTTACGGAACAAGTCACAGCAGACCCGTCGAAGGCGACTACAATCCAGATGATCCCTTCTCGACCCCTTCGAGGCTCATGATGGGTGGCTCATCTCCATGGAGTCAACAATCTACCTCCGGCGCCGGAGCCTCGCTCGCGTCGCCCAGCCAGCGTCGCAATTCCCACGCACCTTGGCTTGGCACCCCTACCACGGGGCTGCTCGGCACAGCTTTCGGCGGACACAAGCATCCTTCCTCGGCTGTACACACTCACGACGACTCAGACTATGGCGTCGGCCTGCCGTCCCTCCCTTTCTCGACAAGCGTCGGCGAACGGTTGCAGGATGCAGGCTCGCACCAGGAGCATCACAGCTGGCTGCTGCCGTCACCAAGCACATCCACGTCTGGCGCTAGGTTCGGTCCCAGCAGCGTTCTTCACACTCCCGAACTCCTCTCACAGCGCTCTAGAGGGACGAACGTCTCGTCAGTCAGAAGGAGCGCAAGACGTTCGTCTGGTCAACGTGACGAGGACGAGCTGCCTTCCAGTAGCCCCTTACCCAGGACGCCTACTCACGACGAATACAGCCTGTCCGTCACTGCTACTGGCAGCCCTCGTATGCGAGGCGCATTTGCTACACCGTCTAGCTCCAAGAGATTGGCGAGCCTTACCTCGAGCAGCACCAATGATCCTCTGGAACGCCAAGTAGCACCGAGCTCGATGACCAACGGGACAAAAGGGCAATCGGCACAACCGCATACAACTGGCCCAGCTCAGCACGCATCCAAAGCTCGCGTGGCATCAGGCAGCGAACTTGCAGGACTCGGCATCGACATGGACTTTGAGGATATTCTCGACATTAGCCAATGAACAAGCACATTCTTCTCCTCACTCGCATTGCGTCTTTCATTACAATGCCTTCCGTCTAGCTTACATCACACGGCTCTTCACAGCATCCCTAGTACTTCTCGACTTCCCCTGCACCCTCTCGAAACGACAAACCGATTGAGATCGGCCCCAAGCCAACACGTCACTGCGATCATGTCCACGTACAATAGTCCCCACTCTGAAACGATGTTCTCGGCAGTCTTGCCGCTCGCAGCGAATCACTAGCCCTTGCTACGGCGACGGTCTGTGTGATCGGGCTTTCGGGGGTTTGGTAGCAATGTCACGCAACGAGCATGCGTTCGGTCAAGCGCAAGCTGTCGGGGTGATATGAGCATTGCAATTCATGACGTCTCAGAGCGAGCACCTGTCTGTTCCCTTTGCTGCAACTCCTGCTGCTGCTTCGCCTGAGCTGCTTTCTGTTCGGAGGGACAGCCGGCAAAACACCTCGTCAGCCTGAGCCTAGCTTCACAAAGTGTCACGCGACAGTGCCTCGAAGAAGGCAAGTAAGAGCAGACTCACGACTGTCAAGACGTCCCTGACCACCCTCATGTTGTCCTCTTTGCGAACAATGGTAGCTTGCAGCTCGTCCAGTGACTTTTGAACGAACGATATCTTTTCCTTGTACATCTTCTGAGCACTGGGGATGTCCTGCCAGGGGGAGGGGGATCAGGTGTCAATCTTGTATGCGGTCTGCACACGTCATGACCTCATCCTAGCGCTGCCTCTCCTTGCTGCATGACAAAACCAATCTACGCACCTTTTCGATGTAGTAACCAGTGCCTACATCCACAATGACCTTTTGTGTATTCCTCAATTTGCCAGGGACGTAAAGACTAGCGCTAAGAGGGATCAAGCTCTCCTTACCTTCCGCCTTGGAACCCATCTCTTCCAGACTATCCAGACATGACTTGAACTTGAGCTGAGCGGCCTTGAGTTGGCCGTAGGATGCTGTCAGATGCTGAAGTTCTGATGTGAGCTGTTGCCGCACATCTAGGAGCTGAAAGATGATGAAAGAGTGGCGTTTAGCTTTTTGTACCGTATCTGAGGGGGCGAATCGCGCCGGTCTTCCCGGACAAGCACGAGGTTGACGTGTGGCAAGAGATAGAAGGACTCGACCAACTCACTTGTTGTGGTGTAAGATCGCCCACGTCGATCTGGCCTGACGCAGACATGTTCTCGGTGCGATCACAAGGGCGTTTGAGTGTAGCCTAGGGCAACTTGCTACCGCCTGTTTTGAACACCGATCCTACGCGTCCGACCCTTGGCACTACGATGGTGAGCAGCTAAGCAGAGATCCAACAGTCGCTGTATTCTTGGCCGGATACGGCGCTTGTATGGGGACGATTGGAGATGGCGAGGAGAACTGGGGTGAATGCGATGAACGTTCTTCGCACCGCCTCACTCAGCCTTGCTCACGAGACCGCGAATGGTTCGCATTCAAGATTCACGTGATTGAGTACGGGGTAAACATATTCTTGATTCAGAACCCGTGCAAATTTTATTTGGATCATACGGCCACCAGAGCCGTATCAACTTCAAAATTCATCAGATGATACGGCCCTAGCAGCCGTACCAAACAGTCAGAGTCTATCTGGCTCTGTATGCTGCATAGACTCAGATCTTAATACGGCTTGTATGGCCGTATCAATCTTACCAGTACGGTCCCCCGAGGAGTATATTGATTCTGTCATACGGCCCTCCAAGCCGTACTAAGCTCCGGCGCGGTGCACATGCAATTTGAATCTTCAAGGGCAGATAACATTTTGTGCGCAAGCCATTAGTGAATGCATTGCCGCACTTGATTATATTAAATGAATGTATGCTAAGTCTGACTTAAAATTCTTGAAGTCCCTGATTTCACAACCACGTGTAATTGGAGGTTGTCTTTTCACGAACCCTAGCTCAGAATTTGATAGAGCTCTCTCTGGTGACCATATGATGGGATTAAAGCTTGACCGGGTTCCAAATGTGACCACTCCCCATTCATCCACATTTGTGACATCTTTCCCGCACGAGAGCGCGTCCGCCTGCAGGAATTTGTCCGCTACCTTTTGAAATTTCGACCGTGATTCTTTGGATCGACCAACGTCTTCAAGTCCAGCTGCACCAGTCGTGATTCATGGCCGCCGATCTTTTCTCTCTGCATCGCTCATCTCCTCTCTCCTGACCGTGTAGCAACGCTGCATCTATCCTGTGCGCCTGCCATGGTGCGGTCGTATCTTCGCCACGAACCTACGCAGGCCTTTGGCTTGGTAGCATCCTCCACCTCTCGCTCCCTCCTGTGCAGCGATGGCAAGACGGCCGTAGTGCCGGCTTTGGAGGACGTTCTGATTTGGGATGTCAAGCGAGGTACCCAGCTAAGCATGTGGCATGATGTTGGGCACAAGGCCAATGTCACAGCTATAGCTCGTGCTCCTCAACGCTCAGACGACATCTTGTCCACCTATGCCGTGGGCTATCAGGATGGCAGCATTCGCATTTGGCGCGTCAACCCTTTGGATACCGAAGCCCCCACAAGCCCTGCACTCACTTTCAATGGGCACAATGCCGCGGTCACCAGTCTTGCGTTCGAGGACCAAGGTGGGCTCAGGCTGGCAAGCGGAAGCTTGGACACGGACATCATCCTTTGGGATGTCGTCGCGGAGACGGGTATGTATCGCATGAAAGGTCATCGCAACGCCATCACAGACCTCGCTTTCGTGCCCGGAACCAACAAGCATGATTCGCAAGACGCATACAAGCAGCCTTCCTCGTCTTCCGCGAGCTTCATCAGCTTAGGTCATCTCGTCTCTGCTTCAAAAGATGGTCTTATCAAGCTCTGGGATCTCAGCATGCAGCACTGTCTTCAAACGGTCGTTCCTGGCAAAGGCGAGATACTTACCTTGGCCATGGCTTCGGGATTCGGCGGCAAATATATACATCAGCTTAAAGAAGATGGAGCTTCAGATCGAGACGATGCCTCAGTCCTGTTACTCACAGGCTCTGCAGAAGGCGAGGTAAGAATCTGGGAGATCGACACCAAAGCGCTCGCAGGTGGGATCCAGGCCTCGGCGATGGATGTGGATCTGGAAAGTACTGAAGACGCAGGTGGAGGTCTGAGCCGTGGCTTCATCATTCCGCACGGCACGCTTCCCGTGTCCTCCTCTCGGCGCATCACTCAGATCTTGTTTGCCCCACCTCGAGGCGCTGCAGGATGCGGCTTCGTCGCCGTAATGAGCTCCGAGAAGGCTGTGCAAGTGTTTCGGATACGCACACAAGACGACATGCGAAGAAAGCTGGCTCGACGAAACAGACGTGCAAGAGAGAAGGCACAGAAAAAGTCCGATGGCGGAATTCCAACAGCAGCAACAGGGCTGGACGACGCAGGTTCAAATGAACCCGCAAATGCGGAGATTCCTTGGGCGGAGCGGTTAGAATCATACACAATTGTGCGCCCGACGCAGGGTCGTCTGCGAAGCTTCGCCTTTCAAGATGCGAGCGAGAACGCGAACAGTAATGCGGCCACGCCCATGCTTCTCGCCCTTGCAACGAATGCGATCGAGGTGCAGAGCTTGCCACCTCCGCCTCAAAGCAGGTCAGAAAAGGCCACTCCCCCGGAAGCGACACTGTCGTGCGGGATCGATCTGCCGGGACACAGGTCGGAAGCTAGAGCGGTGGCGTTGTCATCCGACGACACACTGCTTGCCTCCGCAGACAGCTTCGGGCAATTGAAGATCTGGAACGTTGCAACGGGGAGGTGCATACGGACTCTACCTGGCGCGTACGCCTTGACGGTTGCGTGGCTTCCTGGTGATCGACACGTCCTGGTGGGTTGCAAAGACGGCACACTTAGATCGTACGATATTCCGGCGGGAGAAGCTGTGGAGACTATCCAAGCTCATGACGGACCGCTTTGGAGCATCGCTGTGCACCCCGACGGTCAAAGCTGTGTGACTGCTAGCGCGGACAAAGACGTGAAGTTTTGGGAATTCGAAAGCGTTGTTTCTGCCATCGAGGAACGAACGGAGGACCAATCAGGACCAGATCAAGAGCAGGACGAAGGTCGGTCAGCTCCTAGCGCGGGTAGAATGCAACTCTCCTTGGCGCATGTTCGTACCCTCAAGATGACCGATGACGTCCTATTCGCCAAGTATAGCCCTGACGGGCGCTTGCTAGCCCTCAGTCTGCTAGACACTACAGTCAAAGTGTTTTTTGCCGATTCGCTCAAATTCTTCCTCTCGCTGTACGGACACAAGCTGCCAGTGCTGTCGTTGGACATTTCGAGCGACTCGAAGCTGTGCTTGACAGTCTCGGCTGACAGGAACGCCAAGATCTGGGGTTTGGATTACGGGGACTGCCACCGGAGCTTGTTCGCACATGAAGAGGCCGTGATGGGCTGCGCGTTTGAGCAAGGGAGTCAAGGCGGCGGTTTGATGGGCGGCAAAGAAGGCGCTTCTCATCACTTTTGGACCGTCGGCAGGGACGGCAGAGTCAGGCACTGGGACGGGGACCGTTTCGAGCTCATACAAACGCTCGAGGGGCACCACGGAGAGGTTTGGGCCGTCGCTGCTGGTCATAAAGGCAACATGGCAGTGACTGCAGGTGCAGATAGATCCATTCGCGTCTGGGAAAAGACGGAGGAGCCACTGTTCTTGGAAGAGGAGCGGGAGAGGGAGATGGAAAAGCTGTACGAGACGGGAGCTCCAGCGAGAGAAGACGACAGTGCGGCAGTTGGCAGTCTTGCCGCTGGAGCTGAAGCGCCACAGAAGATGGATGATGTTGGTGCTGTAACCAAAAGCACTGGAGAGACGCTGAAGGCGGGTGAACGGCTGATAGAAGCACTGGAAGCCGCCGATGAGGACCTCCGAGCGACGAAAGAGTGGGAGAAGCGGGGGTCACAAGGTGCACCGCCTGCTAGATCACCCGTCTTGCTCGCGTCTTTTGCTCCTGACGAGGCTGTCGATCCGAACTTATACGTGCTCCGTGTCACGGAGAAGATCACGGCCGCCCAGCTTGACGACGCCCTCATCGTCATTCCTTTCGACAAGGTCATCAGTCTGATGCGATGCTTGGATCATTGGGCAAAGAAGGTGAGACGGTCATCGCTGGAGTAGCGTTGGTGCGGCAAAGCAAGTTCTGATGAGTACCTCTATCCTCGATTCGTACAACAGCAATGGAACATTCCACTCGTTGCGCGCATTCTTTTCTTCTTACTTCGAACGCATCACGCGCAGATTGTGGCCAATCGAGTGATGCGTGTCACTCTTGCTAGCCTAAGCGGACATCTTCGATCAGCCCTCGATCGACAAAAGGTATGTCGAGATCACTAAAGCTTCCGCTCTATCCGCATTGCCACTAATACCCTCACTCTTCGTACTTCGACCGGGCCTTCGGATAGACAACCATCGGCTTCAACCTGGCTGCACTTAGGCACGTGCGCGCCCAATACGTTGCGCAGCGTACCAGCACTCTGTATGAACGGTATGGCTTTGATCTGACCGCGGAAGAGGTGAAAGCCCGGATCGAACAGGGGCAAAAGAGGAAGCGCAAATTGGCAGTGTCGTAGATGTATTGCATTCAGTGAATCTGCTGAAGCAAAGATGCATCAGTCCTGACATGCAGACATAAGCCTTGTCTGGTCCAAGCTGTGACTGATTGAGATGGGTCACACGGGGTCTTCTTGGTACGTTGAGAACTTCGCACTCGTTGCACTTTCGAAATAGACCTTGTTCTGTGGGTTGTTACCTTTGACCCTCAACGCAGCCACGTGACCGTCGACTGAAAGCGCCTGCAAGACCGGCTGCCGGTACGCGCACATAAGCGGTGTCCCACCATCAGCTCCTACTTGCAGCTGCAAGGCTTGACGTCCCGCAAGCCTCTTGGCCGGGGTAGAGTAAGTCGTGAGTGAAGAGGGCAGGTGACGAAGCATATAGAGCTCACACGCATGGGTGGCTTGCGTGAGATCCATCGATGCATGATCTCACATCACAGTCTTGCCATCGGCGTTGCTGAGGAGCTTGGCTTGAGGGTCGCATTCACAATTCGCATTCACGCTTCGCGCTTCACCTCCAAACACGTTGTCCCGCTGAGCATCATCCCTCCACCCTTGGTCAACCTGCTGGTATGCACATCACTGCTGCTGGCCCGACACTTTTTCACACGCTCGCGCAGAAATCCATCTGCAG